ATTCTAACCTGATAAAATGTTAGTAACATAAAAAAAATAATTATTAACATACGTGTGGAATGAAAAAGCTTAGAATTGACATTTTTGATAAACTTGCAATCGATTTGTGACAATTTTTTTTTCTTTTACCTTTTTCCATGTTCCTCTATCAGCATTCTCCGAATACTTACCTCTTACATACCATTCTTCAGTTTTTCAAATTTTTGGTCTCCTCCCTCTAGCTTTATTCCCTTGATACGAGAAGACTCAAGCCTTCTGCAGGGAAAACCCTCCGGTATCCAGGCATAACGAGCCACGCGATTCCAGTCGGCTTAGCAAATATAATCATCTATCTATATCTATACATATACATAATTTAACTGATCGTTGTCTGTACATTGAAGATGTTTGAGACTATTATTGGGGGCCTTTATCAATACAATGGAACCCAAAATAGTGATTGTTAAAATTTTTGTCTGTTTCTCTATTTGTCTGTGGATTTTTGCGCGCTAATCTCAGAAAGGGCTTTACAGATTTGGATGCAACTTTAACTTATGCATTGCAGTAAGCTTCATTTAATATTTAGTGTTAGTCTTACATAAATCGGCTTATAAATAAAAAAATAATATCAACTGAAAGAACCACATTGAAGATTTGTGCGATAAAACATAAAACGTGCAGCAGGCAACATGTTTTTATCGCTGTGGGCAGGGTCACGCAGCAGCTTCTGCAATTGCTCGAATGACAGGCTCGTTCGAGGCACAAAGAGACCGGCACCAGGGTCACAAAGAAGACCGGCAAGAAATGGATGTATTACTCTTTCGCGTTTCGTCTGGTGAGTGAGGTGACCGAAGCCTGCTTTTTTAAAAGCTATCAACGCATCTAAAAAGCCCTCAGAATTTCTTGATGTTCATGGAGCAGCGGTATTCACTTAACATCACGTGAATCACTTGTTTGACAACTTGTCACATAAATAAACTGTCAGGCTACTTAAATCTACTATTATTATTACTCAACTACTCTACTATTAGTAGGTACTACTCGGGGTACATAAATTTTTAATTTATAATATTTATACTTTTAGATTTATTTTCAAAACGCGGTTATTTAAAAAAATCATAAATATTTTATTTTTCCATTAATCCATGCATTGTCCAACTATCAATGATATTTTATACTATATCATTGCATATGAATTATGTATATACAACAACATTTCATACGACCATTTCATGCGAACTTAGCTAGGTATATTTATTATAAATTTTTGCTTAATGAAAATTGTGTTTGTAGTTAATAAAAATATTAAAGACGCTGTATGTATATTTATGTATGTATGTGTATGTATTTAGTTAAAAAAGGGTTTGGAAACCTATATAGTCCACATAGGTTTTCAAACCTTTTTTTAACTAAATGTTACATTTAACAAAATATATCATAATGAGCGATTATTTTCAAAACACGTTCTCGATGAATTATGAATTTCCTGTATAACAAAAATCATGAAGAAACATTTAGAATTGAAATTCTAAGGAAAATTTATAAGTACATTGATAAAATTAATATCAGTAATGTAACAAAAATTAATAGCCTTAAAAATAATTAAACTTAGTAATAATTAAACGGTTAATTTAATTTTTCGTGAGTGGTCCACAACGTCGTTCGACAAGAACGAATAAGATTTGACTCGTTACTTTTAGCAAACCGAATTTGAACTTTAGTAACACAAATTTTGAAAATTTAAAAAACTTTAATGAAATAGATATCCCTTCATAGTTCTTTCAATACAGTATATAATAGAATCGTTCATTACGGCCGTCGATCATACGAAACTAGCGCTATTCATCATTCGTTCACTTGTTCAGTAGGGGATCGCGCAATCGAATGTTAGGTTAACTGCTGACCTAAAATAATCCATAGATGTGAGTCACTTCATTTAACTCACGTTTACTGAGAAGTTCTTTTGAACGACTCTATCATGAGCTACACAAGCCATTTTGGATATTACCTACCTTTATAGTATAAAGGAAATAAAAAGAACATAATAAATTCATTTGAAAATTGTAAGTTGAAGAAAATATGAAAATACGAAAACACATCTAAAAGAGGGTAGTTAGTCGGTGACCACAGCTGTCAACGTCTTCGACGCTAGGGCACTAGGCTAATCGAATTTACTTATAAAATAAAATAAAAATTCTAAAGATAAATTTTTTAATTTAATTTCACTTGGGGAATTAACAAGTTAAAAGTATCTGAAAACTTAAAGGATAAAAATAAAATTCTCAATATAAGTATAAAGCAAATATAAAATAATACTTATTATAAACGAAAGCAATTATTATAGTCTATTGTTAACCAACTACATTCTCTATGTGCCTTCTGAAGGAGTAATTTCTGTTGCGGAGACTTTAACTAAGAAATGGCTTAATATTTTTCTAACACATTAGTTTTGTAAACAAAACAGTCATTGTTCGATTACTTGTTTATTGTTATGATGTAAGCAATGCCATATAGGCTTTAGTAGTTAATGGTGTAATTAATGGGAAGAATTTAGAATTCATTATTTTAAATTGTTCATTATTTTCTGATACCTTAATATTTGTTTGTTTATTAGTATTTTTATAAAAATATAAAGGTAATTAACTATTATGATCGTATAAAAGAAAAATAACATCTGCTTATATTTTTCGATAGCCCTCATAATCAATAGCCTCCTACGGCCCACCACTAGTAGATTAAAGGTTATTTGCCTAAAGAAGAAAATAATGAACTCTCTTTAACTCTACCGTAGTTTCTTATGTGTAAAGTCTGCAAGCGGGCTGGTGGTTCACCTGATGTTAAGCACTTTAGAGAGACAGGGCACATATCCCGCAAGTAGTAGCAATGGCGTACCAAGATACAAATGAGATTTCTCCAAAATATAAAAAGCTTATTAAAGAAATCGAAGTCATTGAGTAATATTCAAAAATCAATCCCAGGAGATCCTATTTTCCCAAATATAAAAATTCTTTTACTAACTCACTATGTTACAAGTATCTTTTACTTGTGTGGAGCGAAGTTTCTCTTCATTTATATGTATATGGTTTTAGAGCTGTTTTTATATTGTCACTGCTATATCTAAATCATGATAAAATGACCGTGAGTCATGATGTTCGTTAAACAATAGCTCACAAAATTATGACCAAGAGGTAACTAGGCATAACAGCATTTATGCGTGTGTAACTACGAAATAAATGTGGTCATCGTGTTCCAAATTAACAGCAAGTGTAAGCGAATTTAATGCATAATTGATCTATTTGCTGCTGGTAGATAATTAAACCTGACACAGGTGTTTAGATAATTCTATTTAGTTTGCATTGCCGTGGAAATTGATGACGAATCTTAGTAGACTATTCGTTGGATTAAAATCCGTGCGTAGGTATTTGATTCTCGTAGACAGAAGTATTTTGCCATATGAGCATGTTTTTACGTGTATACCAAAAATATGTAGTAAGCATAAGCTTAGATTAGCTTTATAATGCCATATCAGTCTATTGGAGAAACAAAAAAATCGTTATTGTTAGCCAAATATAATTATAACGCCACATGTGTAATCAAATTATGAAGATCATTTTAATATTTTTTTAATTTTAATATTTGTGTTTCAATACTTAAAGTAACCATTTTCCAATATACATATATGAATACTTACTGCTTAGCAGGTTACTAGTGCTAGTAATGCGTAATAGATTGTTGTCACGCGTAAAGAATTTTTAAATTAGAGATTCCTATGATTAGTGCAGGTTTTGTTCAGTTTATAAAGGTAAAACGACGTATAAATTTTTTGTATTTTATTCAAGCTTTTACGGCTGAATGAAATCTTCAAAAACATACTTATGTTATATTAACCCATTCCGTGCTGTACTAGTAGAAATTTAATTGTAAAAACAACTGCAAAAGGTAAAATGTAGCTAAAATACTATTGTTATTAAGAAATAGAGATTTACCGTTGCAAACGAAGACATAAAAAATCGATATTCTCTATTCATTGCTTACGAAAAAAATCTGTGACATGTCGGACTGCGCTCACAATACTAAGGAAAACTGCAAACTGACTGACGGTTTTTATTGTTATTATTAGTCTAATGTTAATTATTAGTCTGAATGATAGTGCGGATAACTGAGCTGCTAGTAGAACGTTAGCTTACGCAAAAACTTGTTGATCGGACACAGAATTATCTTAAAAGCCGGGTATAACGACGACATTCAGGTGCCTCAGTATATCCCGTGACCATGAATGCTGCAGAACTAAAATTAATAGCGATAAAGTCTTAAAAATAGCTTCATAAATCATAATCGCTTGTTATAAAACTTGCAATATACAATATAGATTTAGGCCAATGAACTACGGCTATTTTGTTTTCTTCTCACATAATAAAGATATTTTCAACCATTCTACCATAAACTGATGAAAACTAACAAAGGAATTAAGTAGGTATTAGTATTAGGTACAACTTACTATGGACGCGGTATTCCAACTTGTATAAAAATACATAATTATAGGTTGATATAGATACTTATAGATATAAAAATTCAGCACTTCGTTGACCGCTTATCGCGTGAACTTTGTACTTGTTTGCTACAGAGACTTAAAGTGTAACCTTACGGTAAACACATAAAAGTAAATATTTATGTTGACTTATAATTATAAATTGTAATAAAAAAATAACTATTTCATTACTGCTTTTCACTTTGTCTTTAATTAAGTTTGGTGAAAAGAAAATATGTAATACTTTATAATGACTCCTTTCATTCCTCTGTTTGGAAAAACAAAATTAGAAAGAATGAATGAATGAATGAATGCAAGTTTTTAAAAATCCTTGATCACAGATACATAGATTTAGGATACCAATGAATTTATACAAAAGAAAGACTGGAAGAGTAGTATTTATTTAAATAATCAATCATCTACATTGAAAGTAACATGCTCAGTAATAAGAAGGAAACGGGCATTGTCCATTTCAATGGGAACGTTCGGTTCAGTTGAATAACGGTTCACCCGCGACGATCGAGCTCTCGATGCCGCAGTGGTCTTCGCCCCTCAGGATCTTGAAGAAACCGTTGTCGCCCCAGTCCGTGTTCCACGAGTTCGCGATCAGCCAGTACTTGTTGCCGTTTTCGACGCCCCACCCCAGTATCTTGACCGCGTGCCCGCCGAGGGCGTCGCCCGCTACGTGTTTGTACACACCGCTTTTGTACGCCAGCAGGTCTGCGTACACGGTGAACGCCGCCTCCACTGGTCCGTTCATGTACAGTTCCGCCCTGATGTGGTCGTCGCCCCCCCGCACCGAGTACACGTGCTTCCCGTAGTGTTTGTCCTTTTTATAGTTCACATTGTAATTCTTCTCGCATTCCTTGATGCATTTCGGGGTTTTCGTGTCGCCACTGCACGGCATTCTGTTCCCGGGGATGTGATGCTCGCACGGCGGGATCTCGTACGGCAAGCAGCCCTGGCTGGAGTTGTAGCTGCCGCCGGAGACGAGACCGAAATGCTTCCAATACTCCCACGCGAGTGACGGCATCCCGCCGTTGCAACCGAGGCCGCAGATGGGGCAGCAGCTCAACAGGTCTTCGGCGGAGAAATGGAAATGTTTCGTACCGTTTGAGTAGGTGCAGTAGCGGTCAGTCATCGCCTCCACGGCGCCGAACGCCCAGCAGCTTCCGCACGAGCCCTGATCTCTAATTTCGTTTAACGTGGGACAATCGGGCCATTTGTCTCTCGGGTCAAAGGTCTCGGGCAAATTCGCTATCACGTCCGAGTCGTGCACCATTGTAAGCAGCGTTGTGATTTGGTCGTCTTTCAATACGCCCATAAGCTTTTTGATGTGTTTCATCGGCGTGTTCAACGGGAAGTTCCTGCCCGCTTTCCATGTCCTTTGTTTCGAGTTGATCAAGTCGATAAATTCATCGGAAAGCGGGAACGCGACGTCGGCCGTTGCGGAGAACGCGCAAATAAGCAGGCACGCAACGCGTAGATAAATCATTTCACTTTCTTTGTTTACTTAAGTCAGCCGGCAACAAGGTAGACGCACTGTTCGCACGACTGCGTCGCGGCAACTGAGCTCGACTGATCTGTGCTAAATACTCATTCGCCGTTTACTATCGTCGCACCACACCAGACCGCACGATAAGATGAGGCAGCAGCGCTTGACCGCGTGTAGAAGGTTAATCATCTATCAATAGTCTGTATGTATCAATATAGTGAAATTATCAAATAGAAACCGTTGAAAGCTTAACAACTACCAAATATTTATCTTGTCTATGTCTAGGTCCGAAATAATTACTTGGGGGCTACTCGAGACACTTTTGTTTGGACACGCCCTAAAATAATTACTGTTTACGGTAAAAGGGAGATTTATATATATTCTTATAATAAATAAAAACAATCCTGGCAAAGCAGCGTTTTGTAATTAAATGCTTTTCCTTTAGTAATATTTGTTGATTCATCGTTATAAGTAATTGTCATAGAGAATTTGTAGAATTAAAACTAAGGAACTAAGGGTAGGATTTATTCAAAAAAAGAAAAATATCAGCGCATATATCTACTACCACTGCTGGGCAAAGGCTTCCTATGTATAGAGATAGTTTTGTGCAGGTCGGGTATTAGAGCATATATAGACTACCATGGCGACTCCACTTGCCACTTGTGTGATTGATTGTACTTTACATATCTTCGACATATTTTGATGTTAATATTTCGAAAATATGCAGATTTCCTTACGATGTTTTCCTTCACCGCTGAGCACGTGATAGGAATTTATATCTTTATTGCATATAATTATTTCTTTAAATTGTACTGTGTGCAAAGAATTTAAAAAAGTAATAATTTAAGAATGTGAAACGTTTGTTTTAATCAAGCAGTTATTCTCGTTATTTTAATTTAACGATAAGCCTAACGATGTTTGTTAGAAAACATTAGGCCTTTAGTAAATTTATGTTTGCGAATATTTTACTTATTCAAAAATAACAATATATTCCAAAGCACCCTCACGTTTTTATTAAGAAACAAAATGGGAATTAGGTACGTAAACAATATTCTTCGAAAAATTATCGCATTGTCGAAATGGGAACAATCATGAACCAACTATTACACAAGTAACAGTTTACAGACTTTGATTAAAACAAATAATAATATTTGGATTATTATTTGTTTTAATCAAAGTCCTCCTATCCTTAATTCTGCGACCAGAAGATTTACCATTCAACTCAGTGATCAGCATTAGTTTCGCCCACAATTACTTTTGCCCACACTTAATTTTAGTTAGCCAACAATTATGTTAAATTTAGTTTGTAGATGAAAATGTGTTTACAATGTAATATAACATAAAAGTCATTCCAATTTCATATCAGACACATTACTGTTTATGTAATTATTTTATTCTCCTTGATATGTGTAATATCAGTTCAAAATATTCGTTTTCCATGAATTCAATATGCTAGAACTTTACTATATGTAATTGATTATCCCAGAGAAACAATTATAAAAATCGGTCCAATACTTTCATTTCCGTAACGAACACTGGTCACTTAATTGAATGACATCTGTGTCATTAAATTAGTTTCACTTCTATGCCACTTAATTTCAGCTTTATTTGTATACATTTGTTGAGTTAGTAACATTAAAGGGCCTTGATACTGATATGTAGAAAAAGGCTTCCAACAACCAGACATTTTAAAGATTACCTAAACTCTTTAAAACAGTGAAAAGGAAATGCTATATGCCCGCAGCTTCTGCCTAGTTTATGGGTCAAGGGATATCCTTATTTGCTTAATCATAGTATTACATTATTATATATTTACAAACTATGTTTATTTAATGCTAAAAAATCATTACTCAAAATAATGACATGCTTACGATGATATGTAGATTAATAAAACTACCTATTTCATAAAAATGGTGGGGACCTTCGCGCTGAACGCAGAAAACTGGGAGGAGATCGCACAAGATAGGCGCGTTGTCGCCAACTCGAATCGGAGACCAAGATCCACTTCGTGTCGCTGAGCAGAGTAAGTAAATATCCATTTTATAGACCATCAAATCTACGACATATGTGCATTTTTCCTGTCAAAATGATATTGTTAAAACGTGTGGGTAATGTATAATACATGATTTCAACCAACAATTTTTGTAACGCCTAGAAATTATGGAGTAACTGTACATCAGTACAACTTGTAACATTCCACGGCAATAATTTTAATTATCATAAAATTAAGGAAAAATCATTAGTTTATTCCAGAAACGTAGGTTTAAAAATAGTTCACGTAAATACTTATTTAGGTCATTAGGAGGTATTAGGAGATATACATACGTAACTGAGAGAATTTCAAATTTGTTCATATTCGGATAGTCAGTAAAATATTATAAGAGAATTAATAATCGATCATTGACATCCATAATTCCCTGTTTTATAATAAAAAATATAAAATTATTTTACATATGTTACGGAACTCTTCGTGCGCGTTCCGACTCGCACTTGGCCGGTTTCTTAATATTTTTTGGCAAGGTAAACTAATGCCAAGATCTACCATATGATGTTTAATAAAGATGACGCATGTGCACATTGCGCGACGTTTAAAAATTGTTTCTTTTATAATTACTCTACTCTACTATATTCTTATCTACTTATATTCACTTGAATGTGACAGATGATATAGAACGCATGATACGGAAAGTAATAGCAGTCTATAGAATTGCAATCTAATTGCACCAATTGGAGTAATTTGAGTGCCTCAATTTCGGTGCGCTGTGCAGTATCATATCTACCTCGTATTAGTATACAATATCATTGCCTTATATAGTCGCATTTAGTTCGGTGTTTAGTAAGCGAGCAGGCGGTTCACCCGATCTTAAGTAATTACCGCCGGACATGGACACTACACCTGCTGAGGGATGGCAGATGCGCACTTCTAAGAAAGTGGGATCTTTATAAAATTTCTGCCTGTTATTGGGAAATTTCAGTCCATCTTCTGGTGCCAGATGCCCATGAGTAGTGGTGGTTAGTTATTTACGATCAGGCAAAACTGTTTGTGACCTTCTTTCATAAACGCCGTAGGAACGACCATCGTTGAGGGCTTATGTAGATAGATAATTAAAGAAGAGTTAAATGGTGAGTGGAATATAATAAAGAAGTAAGCAATTGTTAAGATAACGATTAAAAGAGATGGGTGCAACAACAGTGTTGCACTTATAACCTGTACTAGAACAGAAAGATAACTGGGTTCCTATTTCTCTCTCCCTCTCTCTTATGGATCCTAAGTAGATTTTAGCTTCCGGCACTAAAGCACACCATTTGTCTACGTCCTTCGCAATTTCTTATCAGATCTCTCCAGACTTAATCTCGTCAAGGTTATCTAACATTCGGGAACTATCCCGATTACGAATTTATATACTAAATTCCTATCCTATCTATTTCCTCCGTTTAACGCAATAGCATAATTCAATAAAAGGTAGGTTTTTCTACCAAAAAAGTATGTAAACTGATGACAGCGAGTACATAAATTAAGTTTTTTTGTTTTTGAACATTAGATGACGCTAAAAACTATCATGTTCGTAGATCGCGGTGTTATAGTATGTCATTTGCATCTTAGTTATAATATACTTCTATCAAGCAAGTACGGTTGTTATTTGGACATATACACTCAGAAAGAATTACTTTATTATACTCTTTTAATTAATCCATACGATATTTACGTAATCTTTATATATCGAAACATAGGCGTTATTATTGTAATTCGAGTGATGGACAATTAATACAAGTCGTGGTCGGGAGACCAGGATATCCAAAACATTTGACTTGTCAACAAGTGTCGACTGTTGTTGACAACAAAACATTCGGGTTGATTTTATTTTCCGCGACCAAATTTTAAACGTAAAATATTTATGGATTTTCTAGTTCTTCAGTCTTATTGTTATAGGTTCCAAACACATTTTTTATTATATCATCTATTTTAAAACGTTAAGAATGGCTACTGTTAGTATTGTTTTGCGACACAATCGATATTTCAAGAGAATAATGTTGTTTGTACCTACTATAATTATATTGACCGTCAAATCAAGAAATAACTGGTGTGACTCTTCAAATAATGAACGTTAAAATTTATTTATTCGGTCTCGTTCTTTATTTCTTAAAGTTTTTTACAGGACAATATAACCATAAAGACATTCAACCCTTGTGACATTTATATTTTCGTTGTAATTGCGTCCGTGTTTTTAACGGTAAAATATGTCATAAGGTCTTCACACCTAAGCTTTTATTATCTAACTACACAATAATAGAGGTAGTAGAAATCGCCGTTTTCCGGAACATTTAGTCCGAGGGACTATACCACCTCAAAGCACAAAGGACTCTCGAGGTGTGTAGTCTTACGATATCATTAATTAGAAAACAGACCGGTGGGAAGGGATAAGCGTGATCAACACGCTTCGGATACATACCCATTATCCGACTTTTCAGTTCTGTTCTATGGTCTATATATGGTGTCTTAATATAATCAGGTAAGTACACCATAAAGATATGTGTTGAGATTAGTGACGTTAAAAACGTAGAGATAATAATAAAAAGTAAACTAGATAGCCCAGTGTACGGGTGTTCGCTTTAAATTTATTCATCATCATCTTTTGAGCCTGTTTGAATACACTGTTGAACTTATTACTATTAAAATATAGTAATTAATGTTTGCGTAATTTTTTTATGTGAAAAATTTCGAAGCGAGCAGCCGGTTCACCTGATGTTAATTGAATGCCGCCGTCCATGGACATTTACTATACCCAAGGGTTCCAGATGCGTTTATAACCTTTTGAAAATTGGGCTCCGGCCGCCTCACTCACCAGAAGAAACGCGAAAGTACTTCCATTTTACGTCGGTCCTCTGAGGTCGTGGTACTTACCCGGAAGAACTTGCCCATTTGTGCAATAGCAGAGGCTGCTGCGTGGCCCCACTACCGTGTGAATATTCACATTCATATACATACACTACACAAATCG